GTATATGAACTACATCATATACATGTATCCAAAACATATCATATATACGTATATGAAATACATCACATATACGCTTACGAAGCTGACCTTGCGAGTGTGCGTGTGCTCCGCCCAAGTGTACCGCACTTCCCTGCGCCTGCTGAGCCGCGGGCGTGCCTTTGTCTGCTGACCCATGGCCTCGTTGTTGGGCTGGCTGTGGCGGACTATCGGTGTGCGGCGGTCCCTGCAGAAGGAAACAGGCGTGTGTATTGGGTGAATTAGCATGGTATGGGCAGCGTCTATCTGCGAGGGTTGTGTAGTGGGGTATGCCAATTCGCGCGATATGTGTATAAATATATATATATAGCCTCGAAGAAACCGGATCCCTTGTAATATGTGCATTCACAAACTCAGCCATACCAAATTTTAAATAAGACTTGACTTACTAAGCTTGACGTATATTATTGCAAACGTTTTACTATCGCTCTTTCAAAAGAGTGTCCACCATGTACTTAAGCCAGATTGGAACCAACAAACTGAGTCTCTTACAGTAGGTGTATAGATAGCTACATGCCATCAAGTGTATCTGGTGTGATAGCTGAGGTGACCGCTCCACTACTGCTACTGTTGCTGTTGCAGTTGTGTTTTGGAATACTACTGAAACTCATTCAACCAATATCTGCTGCTGTTGTTGTTGTGTGTATAATGTTGCCAATACATAAATCAGGCCGGCGTCTGTAATCGCGTGCATAAGCCATCAACTGAGGTTCTTGCCATATACACGATACACGTGAGAGTGATCTACCTTACGGGCGATCACCCGATTACTGCTGCTGTTGTTGTTGCTGTTAATATGTTCGGTGACATAACGAAAACTCTATCTAACCAGTACATAAAAACAACAGACGTCGACTTAGAACTAGAACGAACGAGGTGAGCTTCCTATCATGTGTCACATACATGCACACGTGTGCGTAGGACCTACTTGCTGAGGGGGACCACCCAGCTGCTGTTGTTGCTGCTGCTGTGGATGGTGTGACATCGGTGGTTGCGACTGTGGTTGTGGTAGCGCACTTCCCGGTGCCTGATTCTGATTGGCCGAGGGCATGGGCGGCCGATTGCGCGGGTGGTAATCCGGGATTCCTATCGGCTGAGAATTTAACGTCACCGACGGAGGGCCGTAGCTCTGACCGGGGGCGTAGTCTATCTTGTAACCTAACAAAGGCAATTCCACAAACTAGTGTTATTTGGCCTTTTTTTTTTTGGTATAGTTTGGCTATAGATTGACGGTCTTTTTTGGTATGGTTTAGCTTTAATTGCCATTATTCGGCACTATTCGTCTGTTCATTCGAACTTTCTGTAGCAGAAAAGAATGTACACAGTTTTTGTTCCCGATACTATCACATCATTGATATAAGAATTCAGATACACAAAACATACTGAAAGGCCATACGCACATGAACTACATGCACTGAATACACTGAGACCATATACACGTCTACCCACACTAACGTCACATACACACGTCTAACCACACTAACGTCCCATACATCTACAAGAACAAGAACCAATCTGCGTGCGAGGATTTATTGCACGAGATGACGTGAGCATCACTACACTAACGTTTTTAACGTCACATACACCCCGTCTACTTGAACAAGAACCAATCTGCGTGCGAGGATTTATCGCACGAGATGATGTGAGCATCGTTTGCACATGCTTACCTGGAGGTAGGAAGGTATTGAAGCCCTTCACCAACTCGGGATGGCCCTCAAACAAGCTCGACACACGGCCAATAACACCTGGCGTGTCAATGCCCTATGTATTCCAGCAAACAAAAAATATATTATAAAGAAGATATTGAACAACTAATGTCAATGAGACAATAATAATATATTATACTGAACAACTGCTGTCAATGAGACATAATATTATAGTATAAAGAAGAAATTGAACAACTAATGTCAATGAGACAATAATAATATATTATAACAAAGAAATTGAACAACTAATGTCAATGAGACAGTAAGAATAACATTGATAATAACGCCATGAGTGTGTATGTGGGTGCGTAGACTTGTAAGTAGGTCGTGCGACAGTGATGGTGATACACTGCAGCACGGCTATCATGGCAGTTCATGAATTCACGAGATATGTACATACGACTAATATTAAGCGGAACCCCTCAGATGCAAGGTGTGTGCGAAAATGTGTGTACTTATCGACAAGCACATATATATATATATATATATATATATATATAAGTTCAGGTGAAGATCATGTCCTCCTGCCATAGCAATATAAGCGGGGAATGAATGATACATAGGATGGACTTTTTGACATGCAGCACTTGTCTAATTTACTTGCGGAGCGCGACTACACATAAAAATAAACGTATCGAATGCAGATACACACACCATGATAACATTAGCAGTAAACATAAAATAACCCTATAGTATGCAGATACATACATCGCAGTAACGCTGTTGCATCAATAACTCCATACACACATGACGCGAAAACGGCACACAGCCGGTTAACATGGTATTAATCCTGATGTTCGTTTTTAAAGAACGAAGCATGAACGATTATAATAGCCATGTCGTGGTAACATTGCAAGCGGAGACAAATCTCTGACACTCGCACAGACGTTGTCACTAACTAGCCCACACAGTACACACACAGATTGAGATCACATACCTGAGATTTGAACTCCTTCATGATATCTAGAAACTGATTGTACACGTGCAGGTTATCACCGAACTGTATCTTGACACGATCCAGATACGAAATGGCGTCCTCCACCTTCAATCGCTGCTGTGTGGCCTGGGGCGGATGCTGTTGTTGCTGTTGTTGTTGTTGTTGTTGTTGCTGCTGCTGTTGTTGTTGCTGCTGTTGTTGTTGTTGTTGTTGCTGTTGTTGTTGTTGTTGCTGTTGCTGCTGCTGTTGCTGTTGTTGGTGGTGATGTTGTTGCTGCTGCTGCTGTTTTTGTTGTGGGTGCTGTTTTTGTTGTGGGTGCTGTTTTTGTTGTGGGTGCTGTTGGGATCTCGGTTGGTTGCTAGGCTGTGGTGGTCGGTGCATAGCTAGTGGTCGTGGCGGCATGCCCTGTACGTTCGGGTGCCCACCGGGTCCTAGGTGAAATACAAGATAGTGTATGTTCAGTGCACTCTATAGTAGAGTGTGTGCTCGGTATATTTCATAATATAGTGTAAGTCTGGAATATTATATACTAGAGTGTATGTGATATGTTACAGCGTATTTTTGGCATATTTCATATTATAGTGTATGTTTGGAATATTACATATTTTTGTGCATGTTTGGTATATTTATATTGTAGTGTAAGTTTAGTAAACTTCATATAGCATCAAGTCCATGTATTGATTGCCCAGTTCGTAGGCATCTATGGATGATACCATGCACTACATTACTACTACATGATACTTCAGCATCAAACTCATTCGATGTGTTTGTATGAGATATCGATTACCACACAGTGGACAGTAACGCTATGTAGAACAAAAGAGAACACTTACCACCACACACCCACAACCATGCAGGCGTGTACAAGGTTGACTCTATGCTTTACCATCGCCCCCTTCTATCGACGTAGCCCATGCCCAAACAACTAACACACCACAGTCCAAAGATCATTGTGGACCACATACTTCTTCACACTTGTACATCTACACACATACACGCACACACCAACACACACTTACTCGTGCTTCACGAAACCAGGCTATATGCACTCGTCCACCAACACACAAACACACACACCGTAAGGCGCAGTACCCTGGGCCTGGGCCTGCGGTTGGTTCTGCGCTCCCCCAACCTGTCTGGGTGCCACATTGACATTCTGAAGCGGTCGCTCTGTGTGGTGATGCAGAGGCGGCCCTCGCACTTCTCCCTCGGGCCCACTCTGAGACCCCCCAGAAGGCCCGTGTTGCAGCATGGATTTGCCCCCCATGGTTGGCCCCATGTTGGGGCCTGCGCCTGCACCGGGGCCGGGGCTACCTTTCTTCACCATATTGGGCTGCAAGTATGAGATGTACACGTGGGTTGTGAGTGGTGTATATTGGGATGTGTGTATAAGAGTTGTAAGCTTGCGATGTAAGACATAGATTAATGCGATGTAAGACATAGATTAATGCGATGTAAGGCATAGGTTAAATGGGTTGCGAGGAAATGCGTGCTTGCTGAGTGGTTTCTTGTGCCGTTGAGTAGGCGTATGATGATTTAAACCGTTCTGTGGCAGTTTACATACCCATTTTAACATGTGTGTGTGTGCGTTTGTAAGGGTAAGGAATGTGGGCATGGCTTGGAGTTGTTGCGTGCTGATGTGCGTGTTAGTTAAAACGTTTGTGTGCGGGTCGTTCGCAGGAATGGACTGTGAGTGATGATGAGTATGGGGTATATACTGTGGTAGTATGCGTGCAACTTTTAAGCGTGTGTGTGTAGTTGCAATAATCTGTGATGTGAGAAATGAATCTACGATGTTCTGTGGTAGTCGAAGTGAATAGCTCGAAATGTGTGTGTTTGTGTATCGATGTATAGGGATGGACTATGGATGATGAGTTATAACTATTACGTAGTGATGTGCACGCTTTTTATCTTTTTATAAAGCGAGTTTACGTTAGCGTGTATCTGTGGATTGCGAGTGATGAGTGTAAGGTGTTGTGTGGTATTATAAGCACTGATTGTGAAGTGGTGCATGTGTTGGTGTATAGTTTGTTATGCACTGTGAACAATGAGTTTAAGTTGTACTATAATGACATGCGTGTTTACGATAAAGTGTGTGTGTGCATCGTTGTGTATGTGTGGGCTGTCAGTATTGAATTGAACTTGCTCGGTGATAGTATGCGTTCGTGAGTTGCGGAGTCTCTGTGTCGGTGTATAGGTATGGGAGGTAATTTCTGAGTTTAAGACATCCTGTGATAGTACGTGTGCTTGTGATTAAGTGTGTGTATGTGTCAGTGCATACGTACGAAATGTGGGTGATAAGTCTACGGTACTGTGTGATGATTTGCGTGCTTGTGCTAATGTGTGTGCAACTGTCAAGTGTTAATTGGGTGTCGCCGTGTGTAGTGGTGCACCGGGTGTCATTTGAAAGTTGGGAACGAAAGATTCGGTAGTGCAGGAATGTATCTCCAAACAGAATGGAGAATACATGTATATAGATCGAAACAAAATCACGCTCGCATACATATGCTATATCACGAACGTAAATGATGCAGAATAAGTCGAAAACAACGACCTACCACAAATCAGCAAGCATTCTACATAACAAAACAAAACAAAAATGCATCAAACATATAGGACGATACTTGCAAATTTGACCAACCAAGACATCGTGCCATAATTTGTAAGAACTATGCATAGTCTGAAATTTCCATTGGGTAGTGTGATGTGATTGAGTTGCAATTCGAGTTCACAACCAGAACCTACCACAGTACAAGGATGCGTAAACACATCAAACACACTCGATGCAAAACTATATATATGTATATATATATATATATATATATATATATATATATATGTGTGTGTGTGTGTGTGTGTGTGTGTGTGTGTGTGTGTGTGTGTGTGTGTATGTGTATATATATAGGTGTGTATGTACGTGTGTGTGTATGTATATATTAGATATATATATATATATAATATCTGTTTCTCACCATAAATTCCGCATTCAGAACCAGCACTGTTTGTAAGCTTGTTGTTAAAAAAAAACGACTTTAAAGCTGATAAAACTCAATAACGTTACTATATGCCCACCACGACAGTATTTTATAATGTATTCAATGCATAACCGATTTATATAAGTACACCCACGTGAGGAATTTTCTGATATTCACTGTTGTGTATGCGAAGGTCTCCTAATATAGAACACTCAACACCGTACACCTTTACAATACACGAGCAAGACAACCGTTCACAAGCAAACAACGCACGAACAA